CCCAACACACTGAGCCACCCAGGTGCCCCTGACCTTTTTTTTTTAATTGTGATTTCACCTTTCAGTGAGCTTTGTGGAAATCCTGAGGATCTAGATTGGAGATGCTTTTCTCCAAATAGGATTTACATTTGCTTCTGACAGGAGATAGATTCTGGTTTAATATTAGAAGGAAACTTCTAGAAGTTGCAGGCCTTTGAAGCTTGGAGTGGGCTCCTTGGGACCTCTGTGTCCCTGGCTGGACCCAGGAGGGATGTCCATTGGACACTGGAATGTTATGCTGGAGTGTCAGACATTGAATGGATAGATGAATTCTGTCATCCTTAAATAATAAGTTCTATCATCGTTTATGATTCTGACCTCCTGTGTGTTAGCCTGGCATCTTCCAACCTTCCTAAAGAAATCTGCCTGCAGAGTTGTACCCTTCCTGCCCTGGCTGGGGGGAGACTGGGTACCCAGGAAGCAGAGTGATGAACCAGTGGGGTGATGGTGAAGGGGACACAGAGATCCTCTGAGGAGGGAGATCCCTATGCAGAAAAAGAAGCTGGCTGAGAAAAATGATGGGAAACACATAGATAGTCCTTGAAGATGGCTCAAGGAAATGGCAGGGAGGCTCTGGGAAGGCAGTGTCATCTCATGGTCGGAAGCATGGGAGTGGAGCCAGGCTCCATGGGTTCAAACCCTGGCTGGAGTGCCTACTACCTGTGTGACATTGGGCAAGTCACCTGATCTCTCTCTCTGCCTTGGTTTCCCCAGTTGTAAAATGGGAATGGCAAACTTGGCATCTGTGATTGTGAGGATTAGATGTAAATGTTTATGACACGTGGTAGGTACTCACAAAGTGTTGTTTTATCATAGGGTAGGTTTGAGAAGTGTTATTAAGGATCAGCACAGTTCAGGGTAGGAAAGAACTTTCTTCAAGGGATAGAGACTTTCTCATTCTAATGGGGGCGGCGGGGGGGAAGAAGAGACTTAGGGCAATGAGAGAACTAGTAGCTGGGGAAAGAAGAGAGGGAGACAAACACACTAAAATCATAGAGAGCCCCATAATGAGCTCTAATAGCATTAGAGCCCAATAGTCAGCGTGAAAGAGAAATGAGAGGAACAGGCCAGGGAAGATGGGAGGAAAGGGGACTCGGGGCGTCACCTGAAAGCAGGGCAGGAGGAAAGAAACAAAGCCGCTCAGATGTGCTTCCGAGCATTCGTTTTTGGTGTCCCATTATTTAAGCTGGGCTTTGGCAGATGTAATCAAATATATTCTGTTGAAAAGATTGTCTTGGTTTTCTGTGCTTGGCGTCGTACTTACGATTGGAAACGCACGCACTCTAGATTGAGTAAATTCTGGTCAGAGTCAAGTGAGACCTTGCCTGGGGGCCATGGGTGGTGGGGGGGCCACACAGGAGGGGGCCGAGGCCTGGGGTGGGACGTTGTGTGGGTTCCTGGGTGTGTGTTCTCGTTCGGGAGAGCAGTATCATCACTTCCCGGAATGGGAAAGTCTGCGAAGCTGCACGTGCGTGTTCAGGCCCTGCCCCGGATGGTCACAGGAGCCAGGAAGCAAGGAATCCAAAGCATGGGGACCATGTGCTGCCCTCTGGGCTCTCGGAGCATGAATATGGGGCCTCATGAATTGACGAGCTTGGAAGCCAACTCCAGATTAGTACTGGAAGTATCTAGGGGAGTCTGGGGCCCTTCAGAAATCCTGGGAGGGCCACAGCCACTTTAATCTGGGGACCAGCAGGGAAAGAGTGGCTGGTCCTTCCTGTGGGCATGGCCCCCACCTCGCTCCTCTGTCCACTCGCTCTCAGCAGAGGACATGCCCCCGATTGGTTTCCTGGTTTCCGTGGTAAGACAGAGGCACTGGGAGGTTCCGGGAAGGATTTGCTCAGCAGCCCCTTCACTTTCTAGCCATCAAGCTTGGGCAAGCCAGCCAGCTCTCCTCTCTGCCGATTCCTCCCTGTACAGATGGGTTGTGTGTGCATTCTGTGGCAATATGTGCGAGCCGCCTTGTAAAATAGCAATTGTTATTCAGATGGTAGCATTTGTATTTTAAACACAACGTCACCATTATTTAATACATCCAGATATTGTTGTAGGAAAACCAAGCTCCTAGGACAGGGGGTTCCCCCCAGTGGATCTCAGTGCAGCAAAGTGTGAACCCGTTCTGTGCACGTGACCATTGGAGGGAGCGGTCCCCTCCAAGGAGGCTTTGACTGATTGTTCAGTTTTTCTCACCAGCCAGGCTTTACTCAGGCTCTGGGCTTTCTGGGGTTCAGAATCCCAGCTGAGTTCCCATGGCCCCGTCCCCAAGGAGGCAGATTCTGCCAGGGATGCTTTGCTGCCCGTACGGTGGTGATTGCCAGGCCGAGCAAACAACCCAGCCTTATGCCCTCTTGGCCCTGGGCCTGGTCTGGTGTGAATAGAGAGTACGGGATGAGGCCAAGAGGTCTTTACCTGCCCTTTCTCCAGCCTGTCGCCAGGGCCTGCCCCTCCATCTGCTTCTCCAGCTGATGCATGGAACCTTCCATCAGTGCCCCAGCACCACCCCCATTCAGGCCTCCCTTCCCACCAGGTTCGATTCCTGAGCTCCCCTCCCACCTGGGCTCCTTGCGGCAGTCTCTTCCCTCCACTTCGTCCTGCACGTGTGGCCAGAGACCCTTCCACCTGACCTGCTTCATACAGACCCAGCTGTGTTCCAGAGTTCTCTTTCACTCACACACCCTTTGCAGCCCACACTCTGGCCGCCCCGTTCCTGAGCTAGCGGCATCCTGAACAGATTCTCCCTCCTCCAAGTCTTCCTGCCTTTTATCTGGGTTTTCACTACACATGTATTTCCCTTCCCATTTCCTCCTAAGCAAAGCAAACTCCCTGCTCATCTTTCAAGCACAAACTGACTTGACACCTCTTCCAGGCAGCCCTCCCCATTTCCCTCACTCCTCTGGTATAGGTGTTCTAGGTGTCCTCATGCATGTCTCTCTGCAACCTTGCAACCCCCTCGAGGGCTAGGACCTTCCATCTCTGCATCTCCCCTCCATAGCACAGAGCATTGTAGGAGCTCACCACTGACTGAGAGAATTGCAATGAATCTAATTGGGAACGAGCCAGTGGGAGATGGTACAAGGCCCCATGATGTCAGGGTCACCCTGTGGTGATGTTCCAAGCACGAGGGACAGCTGTCAGCCTGTGACATTGCACAGCACAGGCTGGGGGAGGGGTCTTACACCCCACCCCCTGCATAGCAGCAGTATCCCTGGACGTTCATAAAATCAATTATTGGATAAAAATCGCTGGTTTCCAAAGCTTCATTTTGTGCTATTAGCAAGAGAATGCTGTTTCAAAAGGAGATAACAGAGAGAGAGAGAGAGAGGCAGATCAATTACCAGATAAGATCGAGTGGTGCGTGAGATAAATGTACACACTGGCAAACCACTCCTTGGAGCCCTCTGTGGGTGGAACACCCATCCTGCCATCTGCGGGGCCTGCCCTGGGCCTTCCTGTCAGGCTCCCCACGTCCAGGAGGGTATCCTGGTCAGCAGCGGGAGGGGTGGTGTCCGGACAGCTTTTCATATTTGCACAGTGACTAGGGCTCAGTAACACATGAGTGAGCATCTCATCCTTGGGGACGTTGCTAGCCCCAGGGCACCGGCCCTCACATTCTAGGGCAGAGCCTAGTCAATAGGTTTTTCCCAGAGATACCGAGTTCTTTTTGCTTTGATGAAGCTGAAAGTTCATCAAAGGGGAGTGGCTCTCCCCTAGGGGTGAAAGTGCCCGCATCTGCTGGGCAGGGGCCATCGAAGGAAGCATCCAGCGTGCGGAGACTCTGAAGCCCACAGCTCCGGCCGTCTGTGCGGAGAGCCTCTGCCTGGCTGCTGAGCTGGCGTGGGCGGGGCAGAGGAGGCAGCCTGGCTCTGGGCACGAGCCATGCCCTCCCTATATAAATACCCTCGCCTTCTCTGCTGTGCGAAGGCACCGGATGGCCCGGGAGCCTGAGCTCTGCTTTGCGCTCGGCCACTGTCCCACCTGTGCAGACAAGCCCAGAACTTGGGTGAGAGCTTGTCTTCCCAGCTCAGCACAGAGAGTCTGGGGAGGAGGAAACAAGATCATGAATACAGAAGCTACCTTATACATTTGAAAGCGCTGTCTCCACGTACAGTGAGGATATGACTTGTTCCCGAATTGATGCTTCTTAAAAATAATCACAGATTTAGGGATGCCTGCATGGTTCAGTCGGTTGTGTCCGACTCTTGATTTTGGCTCAGGTCATGATCTCAGGGTTGGAGCCCCGCATCGGGCTCCGCACTCAGTACAGAGTCAGCTCGAGATTCTCTCTCTCTCCCTCTCCCTCTGCCCCACCCCCTCTGCATGCTCTTTCTCTCTCAAATAAATAAATAATCTTAAAAAAAAATAATCACAGATTCCTGGGTTGGAGGAAGAAGGGAACACACAGGCGTCCATCCGGTGGGGAGCACACTATTACAGATGGATCGCCTACATCCCAGCTCTTCCTATGGCCGAGGGCACAGTGACAGTCATACGGTCGTTCTATCGGCTACGTTCCGGCTTCAGTGCTGGCCCTTTTCAGCCAGATGTTGTCAGAGTGCCTTGGCGAGGAGGCCTGTGGGCTCAGGATACTAGAACCCAAGTCGCAGCCCTGCCAACTTCCTAAAGGTGGGATCCTGAGCAAGGTCCTTGGCCTGTGGAGGCTGTTTTCTTGTGTTCATCCTGGGGCCATGAGCACTGCCCGCCTCCTGGGACTCCCGGGGAAGGGAGTAGGTTCTCACACAGTGCCTCGTACATAGCGCTCCGTAAAAGGCAGCTACCCTCTTCGTGTCGTTCCGTGTGTTATTGTTGCTGCTGGTGGTTTTATTAACCTCTTCCCTCTGGCCCCATCCTTGGGTGAAACTTCGCTGGGATGAACCTGTTCTCTGCAGTTGGGTAGCGACAGACAGAGGAGGCTGGGGAGGGCCGGGAGCTGTTCTCCCTGACTTCCCATCTGTGCTCCGCAGACTTTGGATGCTGACTGGGAAGACCCGTGGGACCAGTTTGATGAGCGGCAGTATCTGAATGCCAAAAAGTGGCGCGTCGGTGACGATCCCTATAAGCTGTATGCTTTCAACCAGCGGGAGAGCGAGCGGATCTCCAGCAGCCGGGCGGTCCCTGACACCCGCCATCTGAGGTACGTGTGACCGCTCCCACTTGTCACTCTCTCCTGTTCCTTGTGGTCATGACAGAGCAAGGGCGGGCTTGATTTGGGCAGGGCCCAGGCCACGGATTGGGACAGGCACGCACCGTCTGCTGCCAGCCGGATGGTAGCTGACGCTCTCTGCGCTACCCACTGCTGTGAGCTATCCCCTGGCACCTCCAGAGAGAATGTGGGAGGCCCCTCCGCCTGCACCTGGCCCCCTCACCTGGTGGTCACCCCGAAATCATGGAGCACTAAAGACCCTATAGCCCGGACCTGGTTTCCCTGGCAGATTCCCATGGCCAGGCCTGGCGTGGCTTTCAAACGGAGGGAGGGCAGGCCGGGCAGACGCCTGGGAAGTCAGGTCGGTGGGCAGGCTCATTTCCTCGGACAGCCCAGGCACGTTGCCTCATTACCAATCCTTCCTAGAGTCAGAGCAGGCCTTTGCTTCTCCGTGAGGCCTGAGTAAGCAGGTCTGTCTCAACCCCAGCTCCTCCGTGCTGGCCTCCCTGCCTACAACTGGGAGGCCCAGCTGCACCAAAGGCGCATGGGAGGGGCTTGAGGCATTGTTAAATTGAGAGGGGGGCGGACTGGTGTTAGCTCCTTAGCGTTCTGTCTTTGTTTGGGTCTGTGGGTACCCGTTTGTGGACACTGGGGTTTATGAGCAGGGTGGTAAGAATTCTCGTGACTTATGACGCTGGGCAACCTGGTGGTGCTAAAGTTGTCAGTCTGTAAAGAGGGGTGGACTCAGTTTCCCCAACTAGGCTGTACGTACAAACTCAAAAACCTTGACTTACATAGCACGCATCCCATGGAGGGGCTCATGTTAATCACCATCGTTCATAAAAGGGGCCGGTTTCCCCAAAAAAGTAATGCCAGGGCCATGAGCTATAAGGCATCTGTGGTTTCAGAAGAAGTCTTCAGAAGAAGACTCCCAAGAGTCTGCAAACTGAACACTTCTAAGCAGCAGGAAATCCCCCACAGCCAGAGATCTGGGGCACTGGCTATACCTCGAACACTTTGCTGGCCTGAAAGCTTCTTCAAGTCAGAGTCTTATAGTATTGCTATCAAAATTCCCCAGCACTTATCCTGGTTCTTGGCCTCTGATAGAATTTTCATTAAAAATTAGGTAATTTGGGGGCACCTGGGTGGCTCTGTCAGTTAAGCATCTGACTTCGGCTCAGGTCATGATCTTGGGGTCCTGGGATCAAGCCCCGTGTCGGGCTCTCTGCTCAGCGGAAAATCTGCTTCTCCCTCTCCCTCTGCCCCTCTCCCCTCCCGCTCGTGCTCTTTCTCTCAAATAAATAAATAAAATCTTTAAAGAAGAATTAGGTAATTTTATTTCCCTGAGCAGAGACTACAGACAGGTAGGAGAACAGGGAAGAAGGCTGAGAAGCGCCCCCTGGTCTCAGGTGGGTGGTCCCGCCCTTGTCCTGAGTCCAGATGGTGAGACCCTCCAGAAGGATGAAGGGCCGCCTCCCAGCCAGGAAAAGAGCCAGTGCATCTGGGTGTGAGTTCTGCTCCCGCCCCGCAGAAGGGAGGCATGGAGTGGGGGATTCACTGAGCAGGCAGGTTCGAGGGGACACCCTGAGCAGGACGAATTTCTGCGTTCACCCTCATCTGTGATCTGAGAGGCGAAAAAAGAAAGTGGTTTACGAGGGCCGGACATATGTGCGGGTTGTGGCGGAGGAACCGAGACCGTCCCCAAGGATCCGAGTTTACCAGGTCCTATTCGGGGCCCTCTCCGAGTGTGTTGTATCTATCAGGTAAGTGTGATCTGCTGCCAGGGAGGCAAGAGGGGCAGGGAGGATTTAGATGCAATCTAAGGCCCCCTTTGGGAAGACAAAGAGGAAAAGTCCATCAGCCATATGTCTGCCTCCGGGCACTAACCTTGCCCTGTGGGAGCTGGGGTTGAGTGACTTAAGAGAATTTCAGATCTGTGGATCCTGATCCGAAAGAGCAGGAAGAGGAGAGGACAGGGGATTGGGAAGGAGGGCAGGCACATGGGGCCAGGCAGGTGTGGGAGGGCTGTTGAGCGCTGACTGTGTGCAGAGCCCCAGGCTAGCGCCAGCAGAGGCTAATAATCGGATCAGCCATGTCCAGGCTGAGTGTGGTATGGGGCTGACCCTGTGCACAGACCACTCTTGCGCTAACGAGAGTTCCAGAGACTGCCAGCAAAGCCCAGTGTGCTTCCCTCCCACGGACCCCACTGGGGGTTGACCTTCTGTCCGTAGGATCTCCTCCTTCCAGCCCTTGCCTCCCAGGGAATCGGTGTCTGTGAGGTTAAAACTAACAGCTAAGCCCCTTAATCCTGTGATTCCAGACTCCCTGTATCCTGACTTCCTCCCAGAGTAATGTCTGGGGCCAGCTGGCCTGGGCTGACGGAGCCCTGGGGCCCTTCTTGGGCCCTGCCGGCCCCAGCTCCAACCAGCTGTGGCTGCTGGTGACCTATCTCCTATCGCCCAGGGATTCAGTCAGTGGCTGGCATTTGGGGATCACAGTTTGCTGTGAGGGCTGTCCTGCGCACTGTAGGTTATTGGGCCGCCTCTCTGGCCTCCACCCACTAAATGCTAGTAGCGCCCCCCATGTTGTGACATTGCCGAGGTCTCCGGAGGGGCAAGTTGCCGTGAGAGCCAGCCCTGCTTGTTACCTGAGTTCTCAAGACTGAAACATCAAAGTGCATTATCAGCCCCAGCAACAGGACGAGGCCTTCCTCCCTCTGGGGGTGGGGGCGGGGAGACATCTTTTCTGGCACCCAGTACAGCACCTGGTGTGTGATAGAATTTCAAGAAACATTTATTGAACAAAGGAGAGGGAGAGCAAATCTGCAAAGACACTTGACTACTTTCTCCCATCTGCCTTTCATACAAAGAGGGAAAGAGGACCGAGAAGCAGCCCCCTTCCTCCGCTCCCTCCATCCTAGGGGGCCTTAGATGAGGAGGCAGGAGAACAGAGTCTGTGAAAGGGGTTCTCATTACTAGGAAGAGAATAGTGAAGAAACAGCATGGGGGAGTGGCCTGAGCTTATTAAATTTGCTTCCAATTTTCTTACCACCGTAATTGGATTCTGATTTATAGGACGCGTGTGGACAAGCGTCTGAGACAGAACTATTAGCTGAGCATTAAGAGCACGTGCTGCTGGGAGGCCGGTGTTGGGGGGCATCGCTCAGGAATCCAAAGATGCCGTGAGGCTGGAGGCAGCAGGTGGGGGGAGGGGGACAAGGCTGTGGAAGTTTTCACCCGACAGGCAGCTGGGCCGATGGAAAATCCAAGTGCATTGGCAGTTATAGAAGCCTTCCCAAGCATGTCGTGGCCCGGCACCAAGCGAAAGCAGCCCCACAGAGGCCGGGGGCTTCATTTCCCCATGTGGAATAGAATTGTTATCTCGGTCCTCCGTGCCAGGGAGCCCAGGGTATTTTGTAGGGGTGGCTGGTTGACCTGGAGAGTGGGATGACCAAGGCGAGGAGGCAGGCTAGGAACTCCCCATTCCCAGGCTTTATGGGGGGTGGGAGGACAGTGAGTGATGTCCACACCCAGGCTAATTTAGAAAGGGAGTACCTGTGGTTTCAAATGGATCCCCTGCACATTCACCCTTTGGGGTTGACAACGGAGACTTCCCATGCGCACCCACCCCTGACCTAACATGTGACATTTCCAGTCTTGAGATGGAAAGAATGCTGTCATCGGCCTTTCGACAAATCTTGGCCATGGCTCAGTTTCCTCATCCCTGATCCAGGGCCCATGGGAGGCGTGGGGACCAGGTGCCAAGCAGTGGCCTTCCGCATATCCCTCTGCACGTCCTCCCTCGGCTTTGTTCTCTCATCGCTTCGGACTAGATGGCCTCGAAGCTCTATCAGTGCGGAGTCGCTGCAGCCTCCACGTCTGGGCACTCTTCGTGGTCGGTCTTCCTTCCAGATGTATCCACATCCACGCACTCGGCTCTCCCACCTGCCTCCGTGGGAATCTCATGCTTGTGCTGGCGTCGGGCCCACCTAGTGCCACGTTGTCCCGTGAGACCCACAATCCTGTTAACATAGACGAGAGCCTTAACTCCCGGGGCCCCGCCGAGGTCCTCTGGGGTGGCGAGGACGAAGATGTGGCTGTCGGTATCGGGGTTAAGTGTGCAATAAATAACTATGTCAGTGTACGGAAGGGACAGCATCTAGCTGGGGTGAGTCTGAGCAGATTTCCCAGTGGAGTTCTCCTGTTTATCAAGCACTGACTGGTCCAACAAATAGTCCTCGTTTTCCGGCTGTCCCGCCCCCACTGCTGTCACCACCTTTGGGTGACAGCGCTGGGTTTGCCATCATCCAAGGGGCACAGAAAACATCTGGCAGACGAGGAGCCATTCAACAGAGGCACACCGCTGGAGAAGGGAGGGCAATATTTTGATAAAGCAAATGTCTATTTCTGCGGTTGCCTAGCAATACTTAGGGGGTGGCTTTGATCTCAGGGAAGCAGGTGTGAGGGTGGACTGCGCCCAGGAGCTGCGGGCAGGAGGGCGTTGCAGCTGGGAAGCCTCATTAGGTCACCTCCTCCTGGCCAGCTGGGTCTGATTGTCCCCCTCAGCCAACTCTCCCAGCCTCTGTCCAGGCGGTGCTAAATGGTTCCAACAGTGGGATACCCATCGCTTGCCTGGAGGGAAAATTCCACACTTCGATACGTCTCACCAGGAAGACATTTTTCCTTTGCTCCTTTTCATCCTGGGAAGTGAAGGGGCAGCAGCCCAGTCTGGGATCGCCTGTCTCCCTCCTTGTATTTACTTGGTTGGAATGGCTGCCAAAGATCATCATCATTTCTCTCCTTGTACTCGTCACTTAGCAGTAATAGGATAAAAATCTTTACGGTTGGAATGGCTAAGCATAAAAAATGTTCCCTCAGAGGCGAGGCTGTTCCACTAGCTTAGCACAGAGTTGGTGATGCCACATCAAGGCGGAGGGGAGGTGAGAGGAAACCCATCACAGACACTTAACTTTTGCAAACACGCTCTCCCCA